CAGGCAAAGTCTGATTTGCACATAACAGCTGGATGAAGCATTTTCACCAACCAAAACATTGACACCGCAATGTAATGTGCAACTGATTGCAGACAAACAAACCACAATCAGAACAGCCAATTTTCTAACTAGCACCAAACTGTGGAAATATGAGAAGCCAGAGAGAACAACAATGGAGACCTCTGGAAAACAATTCAAATGTAGAGAGTAAGACAAAAGTATTCTGGAAAACACAAAAATGTACATTAAGCTGTCAGCTTTGCAGTGTGGATTTGGAAGGGCAGTAATGTGAAACCTGTTTATTATACCATAATAATGATTATTATCTTGCCTCCAGGATTTTTGGGGGTTGTTTTGGGTTGTTTCAAAGTCTTGAAAACCATGAAGTTTTCTCACATGCTTTGGCAAGAACTCAATCAGCAAGATCTCAGAGTTTCAGATTGAAGGCCAACTACAAAACCAACATGCAACCCGAGTCTATCACACCCATTATCTACATCATCTCCCTCCCTCAAAAGCCAGCAATAGTACAATAGTCAAGGGAAGCCGATCTTGCTAATGCCATACACACAGATTAATGGGAAGTTTTGCTAAAAAAGGCACAGATGTCTTCCTAACAAACCATTAAAATGAGCAAGTCCTGCTACTGTCACATTACACAGGGTCACCAGAGATCTCCATTACTAGGATCTTTTAAAAAGCACCTTTAATCCAGGTAAACTCCGTGTGTAGCTTCTTTAAAAGTCTTCGTAAGCCGACAAATAACCTAGCAAGAATCTGTCAGTTTAACTGGGCAAGAAATAAGTATCTTCTGTCAAGGATGTGCAGAGCTCTAGAAAATAAAAGCACACCCACAATTACAGCTATGAAAGTGGGTCTTACATGGAGCTGTTTCAGCTATGCTGGTGGTAGAATTATTTGGACTGTGATTCAAGAAGTCTTCTCTCAAATCCAGTTGTATCAAGGTAACTGGGAAGTGTCAAAACCTCCAGCCATGAGGTTTTGATGAGATGGACCTCCTAATGACCTCCTAAGAGCAAGATGATTGTTAAACTCCAGTTCTGCAACATGACCACATACAGCACAAAACAGAAGTCTAAAAAATTAGAAACACCAACCTGCACTTTAAAATTACTACAGAACATTCTCTCCCAAAACCAGATTAAAATCCCTTTGTTTCAGGCAGGAACAATGAGACTGATAGGCATCTTCCTAAAGATATTTCCTTAATGGTAACAACAACTAAGGAGGTAGACACAAAACACAACACATATTAAGGTAAATAAACTGGAAAAAAAAAAAATCACAACTATGAAGTAGTTATTTTATCATCAACAAGTAGATGCTTCAGAGGGGTAATAGGAATACTCCTTTTCTTGCCAGGTCTACTCTCCCTTAAAACATCAAAAATTTCAGCTCAAGGTGGGGAAAGAAGATACTTGTTTTTCTTCATCTTAGATAATGTCTAGATCAAGACTCAAAGTATGATCACTTTCAAAGCACCCTCTTGTATACATATGCATGCTTTTGGGTACAGGTTTTTAGACGTGTGGGGGTGGGAATCCTGCACACAGAATTTAATTCCATACAGTGCAATATTATTCCCATGAACCTAAAGCATGCTTCAATTCCAATGAAGAAATCAATACAAGAACAGCGCATTGGCAGCATATTTCTTGCACCATATATATGACTCATATAAGAAATAAGCACAAATAAGCACAAATATTAGCACTCACTGTTCCCTTCAAGGCATCAAAACTCCATCCCCAGGCAAACAAACAAAATACCCAAGATTGCATGAGTGCAGTACTGTGGCTAATGTGCTCAACGACAAAATACCACTGGGTTATGAGCTACAAGCCCCATAAGTTCAGGGACATGATAATTAAATAGGAACTTACATCCTCAGAGTGGCACATTTCTGTACCACTTCTTCCAGTTAATGAGTATGAAGCTAGATAGCTCTTTTTAAAAACACAGACATTTACTTGCTTTCAAAAATCTGTAGTGGTAACTCATAACTACCCAAAAGGCAAGAAAAAACTCATATATTGTACAAAGTACTGTCATTTGGAAGTGACCATTCAAGAGCAATCACTTCCCATTAAAGCATCTTGGCTCCAAAGGCAAGATAAAAAAAGGCACCAGCTCTTCTCAGTGTCACTGTTCTCGTAAATAAAAAAAAAAAAATTCACTTGAAAAAATACAGAATTTCAGGAAAGCCAAGAGAGCTACCAGAGTTTTATTACATGATTATTACATTATTATTTCTGAAAGTACTGAAGAGAAATGGTATGTCTGAAAAGGTTCTCCCAAAGCAGACAGTTTTTTCCCAAAGTACCAGATGTCATACTATTGGAAAATTTCTATTAAGGACTACTGAGATTTTAATAATGGCTTTGTCTTAATATGTCACATGTATCCCATCTTTAATATTGCAGTGGAAACAGAAGAAATAAGTTGACTCTGACAAGACAGAAAAAGTAAGTCGCTTTCCTTTGCACTCAAGGACGAAAATGGTGGTATTTTCCTGTGAGAATGCTCAAAATATTACGGGCAAGAGAAAGAAATACTTAGTGCAAACAGTTTAACAAAGCCCAGCAGAAACAAAGCATCACATGGTTTTAAGTCTGCTAGGCTCCATGTCGATATTTGGTGAAACAACAGAATAAAATGTTTTGCACCTCCTGTGCCTTCTCTGATGGCACAAAGTCCTGGTTGGCACAAATGCTAATGACTATTCCAGCTAAAATCAGCTTCCCTCAAATGCTATTAGATTTGCATAGTATGAGGATCTAAAATATTCTGGAATTCAGTTTATTTGAAGATAAACACACTAGTAAGATCTGAAACAAGAACAATGCTTTTAAGACACCTCAATTACTTATAAATGAACAAAAGAATACAGCAAGAGTAAAGAAATTGTTTAAGTCTAGGCAGCAAGGCAACTAATTTTACTGACTAGAGTTTAACACAATCCCAGCTCATTTCATGAGATGGCTTCATGACAGCAATCAATTACTCAAGAGACTTTGTGGGAGTTAATACAAGTGGTAAACAAGCTCCCTTTACCTTGGGAGCTTTCCTTAATTTTACAAAAGGATAAAAGAGAAAAACAAAAGAAAAAAACCCCACATTTTTCAACTGCAGCTCCTTTTCTCAAAAATACAAGAAATCTGGTAGAATGATATTGATCCCCTCTAGCACACACTGAAACCATAGAACAGCTTATTTCTGACTGCTTGAATTCAAAAATAATCTCTATAGAATGATCACCTATCCTTAATGTTGCAGATTCATAATTACTGATCCACATACACAGCTCCACAAATACTGGACTAGGCACGCTACCTCTCAAGGTAAATGTGTTCTCCATGAAAAAGGATAGAGAATATTTTCATCTTGGCAAGATATAAGTACCACTTCTCAAGTCATAATATCAGAAAATCAGAGCATAAAACCAAAGGTTAAATACAAACACTTTCTAAACACAAACTCAAGAAAAATCAAAGCCTTATTAATATGAAGGTTTTGTTCCAACACCTGTGGTTTTATATACTGCAGCAAACGTTGATGACCAACACAACATGAATTTTGCTTAAGTTGCAATAAAAAATAAGAGTCACTTTTGGAAAAAAAAGAAAGGCAACAGCAGGCTAAAGCCCATAGTTTGGCCCCTTCTGTGTGAAGCAACATTTCACCATATTATCTACATTTTAGAAGGCTGACATGTTAATGGTAGCACTAAAGTCTGCTTTGGAGGACAAGTTGTTCTTGACTCTGCATGACACTGAAGTCAAATTCCCGCCTGATATATGAAAATGTGAGTTAGAGCTACTGATGCTGTGTGTGCTGTGAAATATGCCAAGATCACCAGGAAATACTACTAGAGGACTGAGGCTTTGTCTGTCAGTCACTCACCTGCTCATCCCAGCCTGTCAGCTGTCAGTCTCAGCTGTAAAAAGCTGTCCATGAAAACATATCATAGCCTCCATTATCCTCAATGTTTTAGAACATAATAATAAAATATGTATTAAGCCAGAACAGCAAAAAAACCATGTCTGATTGATCTTGTTGAATATAAACATGAGAGCAATCTCAAAAATCTAATTGCCAACACTTGACCTTTTATTATCATTTTCTAATACATAAGGGTAGCAATCTAAGCATATAATTTCTTGAAATAATTAGATAGTTTTTCTTAAGAAACCACATCTTTGCATTGAAGTCTAAACTTACAACCCAATACATTTTTCTGGTAAATTTGAAAGCAGTTCCAACCTCTACAAAATAACTTTTTATCATGCAATTATTAAATCCTTAATTCTTACAATTGTTAATTGCTATCCCCCTATTTTAAATATGCACTCTTGAGTGATTTTGACAGGCTTGCTATTCAATCTTCTCACCAGGGGTTGAAATAATGACACTGAAGGGAAAATTTTACCACCTGGAGCTCAGCTGACATGGAAGGAATAAATCCAGAATTCCTCTATTACCATACTCAGCAACGTATCAGCTCTACTTCTGCCTCTGACCATCTCATTCTATTCTCATGGAAATTCTGTTTATTTAAAAGGAATGAAGGTAAAAAGCAACAATACGAAACAAAACATATGGAAAAGAATAAACCCATGACAAAATAAAATCCCAAACCAAATGTGACATTTTGTCAAACACACAAAATCTTGCCAGGACTAGACACTAACAAAAGAGCCAGTCCCACTGCCTTCACAGTGAATTGGGAATTGTCCTACAGTATCCACAGTGCATGTAATCATGGATGATGTCAGTTTGGGGGACAAAGAGAGCTCTTCTCACGAGGAGATTAAGCTAAATGAATAAAGGGATTAAGCAAAGGCTAAAGTGAAGTCCAAGCACTCTCACAGAGTAGAAGTGCTTTGCTAGCACTATGTGAGGGCCGAGGAAGCGGGCGGCAGCAGCGCTGGTGACAGCAGGGCGCTGTGCTGTCCCCAGAGCCAGGCGCTGGTACTGACCTGCCCCAGCATGTCCGGCGCGATGGGGAACGTGGGCCAGATGGCCGAGTACACCCCGAAGAACACCAGCCAGAGCAGCATGCTTCCCCAGACGGCCAGGTGACTGAACTGCCAAGGAACAGGGAGAGAAGCAGAGTCAACACACGGCACTTCCTCCATCCACCCAGCCCAGAAGTGTTGCCCTGTTCAGGTCTCTGTCGGTCTCACTCAGGCCTGTCTACTGCTCTTGGTTTTGGGCCAGTAGCACAGGTTGTTCAAACAGCACAAACCACTTCTCTTTAATCTTTGCCTCACAGCAGGGCAGACAGATACTCTTCTCAGCCAATCTGTCTTATTTGGAGTTCCAAAAACTCGTCAGATTTTCCTTGGAACCATAATTTCTCTCATCTAGTTTCTGTATCCTGTCATGCACATTCCATATTCAACACATAAATCAAGGTAGAAATTTTCAAAAGTGCAGGTTAAAGTTCACATGGACAAATTCCCTATGGCAGTGTATACATACAAGCCATATACATATTTACCTTCTCTGGAGGAAGATTCAATGATGTGTAATAACACTACCACCATCAACAGCTACTGATCAACTTTGCTTTCTTTTTTGTTGTTTTAAAGGTGTTCTAACTGATTTACAGATATGCAATGCAGTTTACATCTTTACTGGTTTTTTAGTCTGTGGACTCACTAAGAGAAAATAAAGAGCTATTAAATGAGCAAGAACACATCCAGCACAAACTTTGTCTCAGTGGCATTAAAATAATTTTTCCTACACACCCAAACTGTTTTTCTGTTCACGATGATTTAAGTTGTTTTACATTTACACCACAGTGGATAGAACCAGTAATTTCAGTTGTAACAAGCAGCTGAGCTCATTATTGGCTCCAGCTTTTCTGGATGCCAACAACTCTTGTGGCTGATGACTTTGGCCCCAATTCAGAGAAGTACCTGCATAAATCTTAATTACTAATTACATATGAGTTCAGGAACATGGGAATGAATTCACATACTGGGCACTGGTGGACACAGTGTGTTTGTTCAGCTCTTGGCGTTATACTTCCTACTGGATGACTGTGTCTGTTGACTTTTTGAACAGTATATCTGAGAACCAAAGAAGTGTCTGAGTATTGTACTCTGCTTGCTGTGAGAGAAATACAAACTTCTGGAAGAAGAAGATTGCAACTCCTAATCTGCAACTGCTGGACATACTCAGAAAAGCAGCTTTCTCCAGCACAGGCAGTGAAAACAAACAAGCAAGGAGCCTGCAGCACCAGTGCAGAGCGGCAGATAGCTTGGATCAGCTGGGGACTACCTTACAGTAGAAGCATTCATACGACAAAATGTCAGAGGCAATGGAAGGAACACTCTTCTAGGCACTCTCAGAAAGCTGGAATTTTGTTCAACCCTGAAAGTTGCTGGGCTAATAACAAGCAAGACATGTGATAGGCCCATTCCTGGAGAGACACAGTGGGCAGGAAGATTTGTTTTCAAACTTTGCTATTTATTCTGTTTCACCCAGGAGATCTGACCTCACTAAATAAACAACTCATTATTTAAAAAACAAACAAACAAGAAACAAACTAACAAAAAAAAAATCACACCCCAAACCCCCACATAACAAACAAAAACCTTCAGAATACCCACATACATGCTCAATTCAGTCTTAATGTGAAGAAAAGTAAGAATCTGAAGGATTTTTTTAAACACCTGGAGGACAAGAGGAATTTTATCCTTTCAGTCTACTTCCTTTTCTGAAAACTGGGCACAATTCATGTCAAGATTCTGACTAGAAGCCCTTCCCTAGTGAGCAACTGTAGTGCTCAGCTCCCCACAGGTCAAGTACTGCAGGACTGCTGCAAGAATTCATCCTCAAGAAAAGTCAGCCCCATGCAATGGCAGAACAGCACCATTGCTGCTTTTTGAAAAGGATGTGATACCTTCTCTTGAGCCACAGCCTTCCACTCAGACAAGTGGACAGAAGGCTCAGGATAGCTTGGACTTGTGATTCCCTCGTGTACTTCATAAGTAAAATCAGCAAACATAAAAGCAAGCAGAGAAACCGATCTCAGACATAGACTTATTTTTTTAGGAAGTGTATTTATGCTAGGGAAATGACATCAGATATTTTTTGTCTCACTCAGGTTTTTCTTTCCATTCTACTGCTAGGACAGTTTTCAATTTTTGCTGATCTTCACCCTTTCCAGCTGAGCAGACTTTGCTCATTTTATCTTGTCTTTACCTTCTTCTCATGGTTGTTCCAATCATCTCATTATCTCAGGCTTTAATCTGCCCAAACATGCTTCTCTGTCTTGAAAAGAACTTCTGCATTCTGAAGAAACCTCCCTGGCCTACTTGAAAGTGTTCCTTACACAGTCACTTTACCGACCTTTGCACTGTTGATTCTCCACTGACATCTGCGTTTACCCCTGGAGACTTCTCGTGTAAAACCAGAAGTGAGCCCACCAGATGTGTTAAATGAATGATAGAAAACAAGAATTCAAGGTTCTTGCATAAAAACTAGACAGAGTGTGTGGGTCTCCCATGTGCCTTGCTTATCTGAAACAGTTTCTATAGTGTGGTAAAGCAGTGATGAAAAAAGCTCTGGGTGTTTGGGAAAAAGCCTACTGCAGTGTTCCAGACAGGCCATACATAACATGAAACCCCACCACCCAACTTCAATGTGTGGATTTTATTATGCATTATGTTGCCACTTTTATCACAGCCTTTCTTTCCACACTACCTACTGGATATACCAGGCTCCCAAACACTTTGACTGCATTATTTATTTAAAGCTTTCTGCTGAAACCACCTTGTTCTCCCAAGTGGCAGTGTCCTTCTCACTCGCTAGAAAAAATTGCCTGTAACCAATCCGCTTGATAATGGATAAGAGACCTAACTCAGTGTTGTAAATTTAATACCTAAATTGTAAATTTAATACCTAAAGATTCTCTGTGTGTTGATTCACTCACAGCTAAAACTATAACTGACATCAGATTTTGAGATTATGACAGTCACTGTTCCAAGCAATGGGACAGGATTTAGAAGTATACGTAGAAAAAAGCTGATTCTAAACACAATCATTGCATGAATAACAATAATTTATCTGTAAAATGCCAGAGTTATAGAACTCCAATATCTACTAAACATTATGGTACCTTCTAAAAAAGAAGTTTAGAAATTTGGGGATCATGATTATCCCCAAGTGATTGAAAAGACACCATTAGCTATCCAGGCAAGAGGAGAGAAGAGAAACCATCAAACAGTTCACAACAAAACAGGATCTAAACAAGCTCACATGCCTTCAATGCTGACTTAGTTATATGCTTTTCTGGTGCACAAGGGATCAATTTAAGGATTTTTGCATTTTAAAATGTTGATACACAACACAGAACCAATGCATAAGCAACAGTAAAAACCACTCAAGATTTTATTTTCAGATGAGAGAATGGGGCAAAAAATATTAACATCTCCCTAACAATTAAATAACCCATACAGATAGCATTTCATCTTTAAAATTCAGAACAGATGTCATCTCATTGATCTTCACAATTCCTCTGGGAGAAATGAAATAAAACATTTTACAACTAACAGAAGCAATGAGGTTAACAAGATCTAAGCTAAACCCTCAAAGAAACTGGTAGAATAAGAATATGTGTCCTCAAAATATCTTAGTCTTGAGGGCAGAGATTCTTAGTATGTCATGAAAATCCATCAAAATTTTTAAAAAAATAGTGTTTTAGAAGGGCTAGGGGAGAGGAAAGGAAAAAGGTGTTGAAGGTTCCTCAACACTGGAGTCCTTCCCGTCCCTCACATTCTTTGGAGCTCAGTGCCCTGCTGGATTCTGTCACCTACCAGTAACAGAGCACTTGCCTGTTTCAAGTCAGTAACTCAAGGAACCAACATAACTATTAACTAACATCCTTATTACACAAAGTTTCAAAACCAAAACAACTCGACCAATGTGAATTCATCACTGGTTCTTTTTACCCAGTTGAAAGATGCTTTCAGAGACCACTTGTTTATCTGTGGGCAGATACCTTTCAATTCCCTATTGCATTAATTTTGAAAGAGCTACACAGTACAATGGATAATTTTCTTGATGCATTTTCTTAAGCAATTAGAGTAGTATGTTGGTTTCATGCAAAATTTTCCTAATTTTTAAGTAGAGATGTTGACAATACACTTTTAGTGTACTCTTCCCACTTCTGTCAGGCTGCCCTTTTTCATCACAAATATCGTGTTTTCTATGAGTTCATTCCTCTCACAATCTGTACTTAGGGAGCTGAGCAGTCTATCCTTACATAACAGACACAATTAAAACTCTGAAGTCCCAAATTATTTTTAGTCCTTATCTGTATCAATACTCATTAGGAAGGTAGGTGTCCTAATAAAATAAAAGTAGTGGAAAGTACTTACTCTAGTCCATGCAGTTGTTTCCAAGCCTGCTTTCAGACAAACAGTGACTACAACATACTGCAAGAAAAAGAGGAAAGAAGACAACTTCATTACTAACACTCTCAAATCTCAATCTTTCCTTTACACCTAAAAAGCTACTACCATTTAGGTAGCAACCCAGGAACTTGGCAGAGGATGTGGGAAGGACAGAGCAGAAGCTATTGTTGGTGCATGTTTGGGAAAAAAAAATTAAAAGGGTGAAGGAAAATCACACACACAGCATCAGATTGATTTTTTTTTTTTTACTCACACACTTTCTTCAGGTTTACACCATTTCCTCGTGGTGAAAAAAAGACTGGAAAGAAATTCTACCATTGAAAAATTGCTAGGATACACAGACTTACAGTGTAAACTATGTTTCCAACAAATAAATAGTCAACTCCCTGTCCATTTGTGAATACTGCATCTGAAAGAAGAAGATAAAGAAGATCACTTTTATTATCAGTTTATAGTTTATTAAGAATGGACGAAAGAACAAGGAAACTTTCAGGAGAAAATAACTGGACCCAACCCTTCCTTTTTGAACATTGAAAAGCACTCTTAGAAACCATGAGGTAAGGGTAGTGCAGAAGTTGTGCTCAGCCAGGCCTCAGACACGGCGCTTGGATAGAGCACACATCCATAGCTCCAGTTGCCAGAAGCTGGGCTAGCAAAGGGGCAGTGTTCACCAGACCCTAACATGTAACGTGCCTGCAAGAGCTGAGGTGTGTCACTGCCTCTTTTTCTGTTGCTATCTGTCCTGTACTAATTGTCACCTCTAACAATGCTTATTACTTGCGTGCCTATGATGAAGAAGCAGTAAAACACCAGCTAACTTATGGTGAAAGAGCTGAATTAAGAAGAGCAGTGACAGTTTCATTTGTAAAGGACACATATAAACATATACAATATCTCACTGGAGGTTAGTTCGATAACTGAGCAGTACTCAGTCTCTGCCCACCCATTCTCTATCAACTGCACTAGGGTGAGTACATACAAGTTAATCTATCATTTGAAAGTACCAAGCTTGGCAATACTTCAAATGTCATTTAGTCTCTCAGCCCTTGCTGAAGCAAACTGGAACACCATGAAAACACATTCAACCATCACATGAATGCCAATTGAACTTGTACTCACAGGAGTTTTCAAGCATTACTCAAGCATGATAAGTATTGCTATTTTCACATGTTTTAAGACAACTGCTAGGGAAATACATGAACAGCAGGGCCAAAAATGCTTAAGACAAAACCTTGGATTCATTCCTAAACACACACTGCCTAGCACAGTGAGCAGTTCTACCATGATGCCTCAAGTTTTAGCTTTTCCAGATTCTGTACTGCATTAGTATATAACTCTGAACTTCATATACAGTGTTAGCAAGTTCTCCTTACAGTTCAGTCAGACAAAACAATCATTTTCCAGCCCAAGAACCAAGGACACCCTTGCAGCCTCAGGCCAAAAAGTATAAACAACAACAAATTGTGCAGAGCAATCTGGGAGTATGGGACTTCATAAACTGAAGCTATAATTGGACAATTAACCCCAATATGTAAACGGACCAAAACTTATAAAAGTGTGAAAATGTGTGACCTGTTGTCCATCTTGGGTCATGCCTTGGCTGGGCTCTTGTACTGCCCAAGGTGTATCTTTTGAAGGCCTTTTTAATAAATACCTACTTTATTCCTTCAACACTGTCTAGCCTCTGTTCTAGGTAGCCTCTCTAGGAACCAATGACAGTAACATTTTGTTAGATTTACTTGAAAAACTGGATTTGACATTCTTAAACAAAGGTTGTATACTCCAGGATCAGTAAATTTTTTAACCTATAAAGAAGAGTTCCTGACACCCTGACCTCTGTGATGAAGACCCTGCCTAGCTTACAGCTAAAAAACCCCTATACATTTATACAGTACAGTTAACCTAAGCTACTTATTTTGTTTTCCTTCTACCATGCTGCACGTGGTTGTCTCCAAAAAACTGAATATTTTCCAGAAGTTGTTACCTCTGTATCCCTGCTTTCTTTTCAATATTAACTACTAAGAAACAGCAGCAGAGTGACTAACTCTGCAACTGGAGATAAAGCCTGAGACAGCTAGGTTACGAATTGCCATGGTCTCTAGCCATTGGCATCTTCCTCAGCCTAGCTCCTCCCCAGTGGCTTCAGGCTTTTACCACATCATTCAGGGACACACCAAGATTTTACAGTCACCTGCTCTTTCCCCTTGTGTCTATGAAAAAGATGAAGAGCACTAGGGAACTTAGTCTCCCATGCCAAATGAACCTTGTTGGTGCCAAAAGGCTCAGTTTATTAAGAAAAAGGCATGCCTAAATGGATCAGTTTTGCTAGAATAAGCTGCCATGACATGGCCATGCTGTAGTGTAGCATCACAGTGAACATTTAAATAATTAAATACATTTTCCTGTAAGTCTCAAGTTTTTTAAAGTTATATATTTTAATGCAGTAAGTTAATGTCTTTATTTTTCAGTGTTTTCCATGACCTTTCACTTTGGAAGGCTACACAGTCCTGAAAAGAATTATATTTGTGCTAATGAGAACAGCAAAATGCTCAGTGAACATTCATTTCTGAAGCTATACAAGTGCCCATTCCTGGACTACGTGTACTTCACATTCCAAGGAACTCAAGAGGTTAAGCACCATCCCAGTCTGAATGGCATATTTTTGTCTCTGGCACTGAAATCCTTCTTGCACTCGGAAATGCAAAGAAACTTGAAAATTCAATATTCATTCCTCTCTGGTAAACAAACTAAGCAACCTATTAAAAGCAACTCAGAAAGCTACTCTTTGAGCTGGTATTTCAGTCTTATAATTCTAATTGTTGAAATGAAAAGCACATTATCTATTTAGGAACTAGAAAAACATCTATGGAAGACTATGTAATTTTAACTGTAAACACTACAGATGTTAACCTAAAATTTATGCAGTTGAATTTTGAAAAGAGCTATTCAAGATTAACATTTGTCTTAAAAGCAGTGTAACAGAACAACAAAACTCCTCAAATCAAAACAAAAACTAACCAACCATAAATTCCCCTCTCCCACAAAATGGAACCTTCATGTACAGATGAAAGAGAAGTCCCTTTTTCATATGGTCCATCAGCCATGAAAGTTCCCAGCAAGGATATGATACTGACATTTTAATCAGCCAAGTAGAGAAGCATGAACATAACCCCCACAAGTATCTTTACTATCATGCCTCTGACATGAACATTCATCTTCCCTCCCTTTTTAATTTTTTCACCTCCTTCCCAATTAATCCATTCTGGAGCAGAGAAGGTTTTATTAAAATTAAGTGTTTTACAGGAGAGAGTTTTACTTAGCAAAAATGTATTATTTTAGATAAATATTCTCTTCACCAGCCTTAAATTCCTCATCTGATCTAACCCTATTTCTTACTACAATCAAAGAACAGATTTCCTGTGATTTTTCCCAGCCACACAACTATACTGGAAAGCTAGGTAGGAACCATATGGGATTTACTGGTCCCTGAAATACCATGTAGTTGCATTACCCTGAAAAGCAAGACTTAATAACCCTAATCTGTACACCAGAGAGTCTAACTTCCCCAGCATCTCTGACTTGATTCGGTTTACTTCCATTCCAGCCAATTCTTTTTCACAGTACTGTGTTATGGAATGTGGGAGTTCCAACAAGATATAAAGCAAATGGCTCTAAGGCAGCTGCTGTAAGAACATTATTCAATCAAATGCTGAGATCTCAACACACTACCACAAAAAAAAAAAAAAGGCATTTTGTAAAACATCACTCAGTATTTGGGTAAGACTTAGCAAAGAAGCAGTTCCATTTTTCACCTATTAAGGTCACTATATGAACAATAATTATGTTAGATTAGAATAATTTCTGAAAGTCACTAGACAACCTGCCAAGCTCAGCAGCTAAAGACTATTGAACTGTCTGGCAGCATTATTTCTTGGGACTTGTCACGACCCCCCCCTTGTGCAAACACACTGGTTCTGTAAGACTGAACATCAGTTACACATATAAGAAATAATGAAGCCCTTACCATGCTCCAGCACTTTCAGTGGAAACCAGAAAAGAATGATGGAATGGATGAGGGCATTGATGCAGTGACCCCAGAAAACCTGAGGGAAAACAAACCAAGCCATCAGTAAAGTCCAAAACTCTTGACCTCTCTCTAACTCGTAACAAACACTTCATTGTGTAGTTTAGAGTCAGAAAATGTTTGTCCTGAAGTGAAATACCTAAACTTTTGCAGAATCTATTTTCTCCTACAATTTTTGCTCTTTCACAAGAAAACACTGGTCCAGTTTGATAATTTTATTCTATCAACTTGAAGCATAATAGGCAAGTATGCTTCAGTTTAAGATCTACATTGAAATAAGGCAGACAGATTGAGTCAACTTTGTTTAATTACCTCAAAGAGTAATTTTAAAAGTGATTCAGTACTATGAAATGTTCTGTTTTCTTTTAATGGACAAATACTTTGTGCCCCACTGTTTTTGGCTAGCAGATAATGTAATTTTGCACAAACTAGAGCTTTATGTACTCTACAATTTCCTCTCCAAACAAAGCAATCATACAACTTCCTTGATTCAGTACATTTAGATGTGCTCATTATGGAAAAGATAGAATATCAAATGCTGTCATTTTCCAGCATTTAAATAGCAAAATAGAGTAAAATGTGTTCTTCAAAACTCATTAGTTCAAATAAGCCAATTCAAATTCTATTTTTCTAAAAGAACTACTACTACAAAAGAGCTATGTTAACTATGAAAAAGCACCCTAGCAGAGAGTGTTAGGACAGCACATATGTTAAATAAATCCAGGAGATGTCATCATGACTTATCAGTAGCTGTGAATTGAGAAATCATACTTGGATATGAATTTAACATTGAATCAAAGTTTATGGATATTTCAGGACCAGTTTCAGGTGAAGTCACAGCAGAAAATCGTTATTTATAAACAAGGATGTTCTTTATTTAAATAAAAAATAATCCCTTGGAAAGAACTGGAAGGCTGTACATTCACTCTCAGTAGTTAGCATAAAGCAGAAGTAACATCAGGAAATAAGTTATTTTCTGAGACGAAAAATCTGGACTACAAGAATGCTTATGTTTTTTCTTAGAGTAACAAGGTTTCCCTTACCCTTGTGTTGAAACCATCTGCATTTTGAGTGATTTTGTATAGCTGTGGAAATCTAAGCATGCTATCTTGAGTGCACGATCGTTCAAAAATTCCCAGAGTAAAGGGTGGCAGTGCTGTGAAAATCTGCAAGGGAAGCAAACACTAATTGGAAACAGCTCTTAGTTTTCAGTGTATCTCATATAATGTTTCCTTATCTAGACAAAAGCAAAATTCACACAGACTTCAGTGAAGACTTACTAGTATCTAGCATGTTATTTGACATAATTTTCAATGGTCCAAACAAGTTTGAACATTAATTTCACCAATCTGTAACTCTCAAATATTGATTTGTGAACAAAAGAAACATGAAAGAAAATTTGTATTATTAACCAATAAGCTTAAACCCAAAAAGTTAAGCATCATTAGTTTCTGATGTACCAGCTAATCCAATGAGGGTCAGACACATCAGAGTGCAATGGAAAGACAACACGTATTTTTACAAAATAGCCCTGTGGGAATAAGTTCCAATATAGCTGCTGTTGTAGCCATAATTAGATATGCAATGTGCTTAACCACCGCGAAGTTTACAGACAGAGTAAATGTGGAAATCACATTAAAAAAAAAAATCTACGGAGCAACAAAGGCTATTCTGCATTATGGTACTTTGGGGATTCCCCTGGCAGGCATGAATTGATAGGAACAAATTAACTGCAGTGTGTGTCTGTGCTACGGGCAGACACTTGCATGACCAAGCCTCGGAACCCTTCCAAGACAGGCAGCAGGACACTCTGCCAGAAGCAGAGTAAATTAGCCTCCACTGACTTTAACATTGCTGCTCTTGAAGTGTTTCCAGGATCCAAGGCAGCTCATTTAAAGCCAGCTTGGGTATCCATGTTTCTTCTGGTCCACAGTGCAGGCAGAAAGTGGAAGTTAAATCAGGGTGCAAGTCTGAAGGCTAAACTTCATTTACTTCCTTTTACATCAATAATTTATATCAGAAACATAATTTTAAATCCTATGCATACATATATTTTTACCAGTTTGAGAAGTGTTCTTGAAGTTAAGAGGCAGGTTGGAGTTATGAACTGTTTCTAGGGCATGTGCACATTTGGAGAAGGTGGGCTGTGATTCCCACCAGCAGCATGCTGGCAGCTGGGGAGCAGACAAAGAACAATGGGGAGGAACAGAGACGAGTGAGAATCAGTAATTACAACCCTCAGTCCAGTGGGAATTGTGCATCTTTGCACATGAAGTGATAAACCAGATGGCTAAAATGGCAGCAGGCTGAGGGTAGAGAACTGAGACTGAGAGTACTGGTCGAACATATCCCAGAGAAGACCATGTTCTCATTCAGCTTTAATGTACTTCCCCTGGGTTTTTTTTTGTGCTTATTGGGGCATTTACATTCTCACTTGAAATAATTCTAATGGTTTTTAAGACCAAGGCAAAGTTCCAGTGTGAACCAGTGCAAAATAAGGAATTACAACACACCACTATGATTTCATACACTTCATATTTTAATGAGACTACTAATGAAAGAAAGGGTTAATCTGCACAGAAGAGAATGACTTGGCTAAAAGCACTGCAAAATCTCAGCCCAACAAATTGCGGAAGTCCCTAATATCCTACTAGCACTTGATTCTCCATGAGTCCACATAACCAGTTCTCATTTTAGAAAATACTGACCTTAAAAAACAAGGTTTACTTTCTGATTACAGAAGATGAGTTTTATCCAGAAGCTTTAGGTAGGGTAGATAAGAGTCATCAAATGAGGTTTAAAGATAATAGATGCAAATATCTAAACATGAATGACAGAGACTGCATAACAGTCAGGAAATTAGGGTGAAGGGAATCAAGGGAATGATAAATCCTTGAATAAGTATCTTCAACTAAGAGTATGAAATCTTATGGAATATGGGGGCTTGTTGCCATCATTTTAAAAATTAATGTGACAGAAGTTAAGTGGTTCCATTAATACTATTCAGTGATAATTTGCTGGCTTTTTCTGTATTAGCATTTGGAATATTTGGAATGAGTTTTTTTAAAGAAAATAAATTAAATTCCCTCCCTGCAAAGAGACTCTTTAACACCAACAGTGTCCTAACAGCTTATAAATCCAGGCACTGGGCCACCTGTAACATTACAAAAGTAACACTGTCGAAAACACCAACACAGGTCTATGATATGCTACAGAGCTTGGCTCCAGAGATCCTTCAGACTTTCATCTATGTGATTGATTAAATAATATTACTGATTCAAGTAATAAAGCCATACGACACAGTGTGGCACCCTGCAGGCCATGTCAAAAATCAGAAACCACTCCCAGACTGCTGATGACACAGTAATGCATCTTCTCTTTCTGTACCTAATGGAGCACAAATCAACCCAAAGTAACAGCATAACACTTCCCTCAGCATCTAACTCTACAGAGTCTGAACAAAAAAAGTCATCAAAACTCGAAGATTAGGAGTATTTTGAGAATGAACTGTCACCAAAATACTCAGTATAAAACTCTGAAAATGCTTCCAAAGAGGAAAATTGTATCTAAAATCTGCAGAGCTTTATGCAGGTTATATTAGGTTAAACATTTATTTTCAAGGTGTTCTCCCAAATTTTCACTTTGCAATTAAAGTGTAATTTATTTATTTTATTTTATCTACCTCAGAGTGGATTCAAAGAGGCTTTTACAAATGAACTCACCTTCCCTGACATACATCCAGGACAGTTACCTGTGAAATATAGGACACAACAAAATAATACAGTAGTACCAAGCTCTATCAAGTGAAAATGTAGCACTTACCACGTTATACAGACCAATGCACCATCGCTCAAATAAGATCTGCCCAGAAAATCCATTAACGAAAGCAAACCAAAGCTGAAAAACAGACAAGTTACAAAAAGCTTTAGTTACTCCTGCAGTCCATGCTTCTGTTTACAGTAGAAGACAAGGATGTGGAATACAGACCACCATCTGGAGACAGATGCTTGTCGTGCTCTAAAAATAATTATCAGCAGTGCTAGGCAGTTATTTTCAAATTCTACATTTTAAATACTAGCAGAACACTCCTTGTTTAAAATAAAATACTCAGGCTATGGAACAATTAACTGAATTTACATCACTGTACTAAAAAAAAAAATAGATGGCATCAAACTATTACAAAATCCTTACTGCTAGCAAATTAACATGCTTGCAGCCAGAAACCAACCTCATTTCCATCATGTTTGGTAAAGACCAGAATTTTCAAGATAACTGTTTTAACAGATGTTCTGCTTAACTTGTGTTGCATTTTTACAGTCTCAGAATTGCAATGATATCTACTTGTCAGTTATATCACGATTATATTGTAATTTTATTGTCTAAATGATGCAAACATTATTATTTATTAAAATACCTATTTAATAATGAAAATTTGAAGAGGTTGCAAAACAGGCTGCAGAGTCTTCATCCTTTAATAAGTTTACAAATGCTACTGAGCAAGCCATGAGCAACCTAATTTGCATTTAATGTTCACCTTTCTTTAAACAGAAGATTGGACTAGATAGAATTCAAGTTGCTTTCCAGCTGAGGGGATTCTGTAATGACACAATCCCAGGAAACAGCTTTAAGCTTTAGTGCAAAGGTAAACTCTTTTCAGCATTTCCATGGATGCAGCTTCTTTGAGCCTATTAATCTTGCTTAAGCACCTTTTTGAAGCACAAACTGCTGTACTGGGTTGGAATAAAGTTTCTTAGTGGACATTAGTGAAAGAAGGTTAGGGAAACAACATAACAAAGAAGGGAAAGAGTTATCATTTTTCAAGTAAACTGGAGACTGAAATAACAATAGCAGTTTAAGGGCCTGAAACTGTTTGTATGTGAAATCATTACACTTATTAGATAACAAAAGATTTCTGAGAATTTCTGGCAACGGTCCCTTTCAAAATCCACAGTACACCATATTAATTTGTTCAAAATTAATTCAATACTGTGTGTGAGAACACTCCCTCTAACCACCCTGCTTCAACCTATTTTGTGTTGCATTTATAAGTCCATGCTGCACTGGATGCAGTATGTATTGCAGATCAGTCAAGTGCTAACCATGCTCATTCCCTTCCTGCCCTTGAGAGCCCATGGCACTTAGTGCCAGGTATCTTTTCTGACACCATTCTGTCACTCATTGGGCAGCACTCTCCTACCAGCATCATTTATTCTCTGGCTCACTTGGGCAGTATTAGTGGCCTAGCAGAACATCTCAGATAACAAGCAGCTAGGTGTACATCATCTGATCTCACCCTGCTCCCACCCTATTCCCTCCCTGAATAATCAGGGGAAAAAAACAAATACAAAAAACCAAGTAGAAAATGAGACTGCATCAAGACCTATCACTGTTTTCACAGATGCAATATCTAAACAGATTTGGACTCGAACATGGAACAGAGGCAATTTCATGCAATATTAAAGTATTTACAAGGTTGGAAAGAATAACAAATAGCTGCTCAAATAGGCACTGCTGCAAGACATGAAATTTACATGCAACACAAAAGGAAAAATTGAAACCTTTTCACACAATACATGTATGGCAATACAAGGCTGGCCTATGGAAATTTCTCCCAGATGATGCTGTAGATGCAAAAGGTAATTTGAAAAGAAATCACAGAAGGAAAGCTGGAGACCAGATAGGTCTGCCAGAGAACTACCACTGTTCACAACTAAAGACCAGGCACCATTCTTGTTTTGAAATGAATCATGTTCTAATGAATTCTCATTGTTCAAGTAAGAAACAATGACACTGATTCCAACTTGTCTGTTTATAGCTATGCTTTGCACAGTTGGGTCATCTGTTTAAAATTACTTCCTGTAATTTTTAAACCATCAGCTGCTCTTTTGAGTGGTGAGTTTCTATTTATTTCTCACTATATTACTCTGAAGTTTGCACTTTTCAATACCTGTTGCCCTTCTTGCAGCTTGTAGTTTACAAGTGCCCTTGTAAGTTTTCTTAAGGGCAAACAGCTTCATTCCTCTACCATTTAGCTGAAACGCACCAGCCTAGTATAAACTGCAAAACATTTCTTAAGTTTCCTTTAAAAAGTGCCTCTTTCTTTCCCATTGGCAAACGTGCATTCAATTAAAAGAGCCTTTAAGCATTCACCTCACCAGCTCTGTCCAGAAAAAGGACAGACACACTCTACATCCCAACATTTTATCATCAGTTCTATTGCATTGATACCTTGAAGGAATACTCTCTAAATCTCACTCTAAGGGCACAGTTAATGGCTCAAAGCAGCACACTGGCCAGTCACACTCTCATCCTTGCAATGTTCCAGCCAGTTCTACACATGAGCTTTTCAAAAGAAACATATGAAACCTCTTTGGTACAAAGCCTGAGGTCCCAAAAAGAAACTACAATTTATTTGGGGTGTTCAAGTTAGGAACTCGAGGGTTTATTCTAGGAAGAATCTGAGCTCTAAAATAGCATGCTCCCATATATTTAGCAATAATGATCTAGGCATTTATCATCTCCAAGCTTGTTGCAATTAATTGCAACGATAACTGAAGGCAGCAATTCTAGAAACAATAAATAGCTCACAAATCAGAAGCCTGTCTGGCTTAGCTGGCAGCCTGGCTGTGCTCTGCTCAGTTTTCTAGATCCCATTGGGCAAAGCAAACTTCAAAGGTTTGGTAGCAAATGATGAGGCCTTTTATAACATTGGCTCGTGCTGCTTAGGAAACAACTGCTTTTTGAAACCATAGCTTCCCACAACCAGTCCTTCAGCAACAGACATAGCTGATTATCCATCAAGAGGGTAAAACAAAGCAGCCAGACTTTCTGTAGCTAGCCCATGGCTCTAAGTACTGAACCAGGCAAATCTAACATCTTGGATTCTTAGGTTCATATTTCCCAACAAAAATATTAACAATAATTATATCAGAATCACATAAAAATAAGGAAAGACAGAGCTGTTAGGATGCCTTACAGAGCAGCAGACAGGCCATCAAAGCACAAGTGAAAAACACCTACTCAACTGACCAATTCCTTCTACTCAGGATGTACTGCCCTGCCACAACTGCATGATGCAGAATCCACTAAAGACTCTGCTAACACCACATTGAGATTAATGAATCAATATAAGAGAATACTGAGATATCAGTGTCTGACTGGAGTAAATAGGTATTTAGCTGTCACTGTCTTGAGTCTTCTGCAGCATCTTTCAACATCAAAATAATTTTCTTCTATAGAAAAGTTTTCTCCCTATTTCAAAAGGCTGATATAATTTGAATAGGCAAGAACTAACATTTAGAAAGTTCAGAGTCTGGCCAATCCAAAAGTGCAATTTGAACTTTTTCTTCTAGAAGTATCCACACAGGTAAAAATTAGAAGTGAGAGCATTTTCAACACTTCTGCAAGTCTTCATGCACCATGGGCTCCAAACAGAGGGCAAAAGTTATCGTTGGTACAATGCATTGGAAAGTTACAGCTCTGCTTGTTTTTTCCACAGATTCGCACTACCAAAGACTAACTGACAGAAAGACTGTGGGATACTGTCTCATATTTCCTCAATATCTTCATGTCAAGAGTAAATCAGATACTCTGCATAAAATACACATTTATTTTGAATTTAGCACAAGCCATAAACTGCCATGCACAGTTTAAGGACCAGCTGTTTGTAGAAAGAGCATAATATATCTTAAGGTGAGCAAAGGGAAAAAACCCCAAATCTTCCACCTTAATGTTCATCTTAACAAAATGTACTAAATATATTTGAAGTTGCAATAAGCCATGCTCAACTCAGACTCAGTAAGCTGGTAGGAAAACTTGCCAAGTCTGTCTGGCTTGCCAAGCTCCAGGGGTTTGTAGGGCTCAGCTCCAGTACTGCTATGAACAAATGGACCCACAGTTATTAAACCTCTTTTCTGGCTGGAAAAAAGAAATCTTTTCACTTTTAACTATTACCTAGCTGCCAAAAAGCTGGAAAAGCTTATTTGTAACTCAGCTACAAAATATATACTTTTCTCCCAAGAAACAAGAGGTCCAATTTAAATGTAAAGAGATTCAGACCTAAGGCTGAAGTCTGGGCTGATACATTGCTATGCTTTATTATAGCAGATATTGCAAAGATGTGAAACCAGTAGGAACATTGCAAACTGAAAGCTAGCCCATGTTTCTGCCTTGAAGTGGGGTTGCATTCTTTAAATAAGAAACCCCACTGCTGAAGCACTCAATGCCAGCTGTGATGTGGGCACTTTGCCACTAGAGAAAGGGGAGAAGGGAATAAACTAGAGGTCAGCAAAAGCCAACAGATGGTAATACTTGGTTAATATTGACTTCAGCTGCAGGCAAACTGAGGATCTCAAGGTAGAACAGTCCTGCACTGCTGTTTTGAGCTACACAGCACATCCACCTGCTCTAGAGTATATTTTAAAAAAAGATCAAGTATTATTTTCAAAAAATATTCCCACTCAAGCAAGTTGGAAGACAATTTTAATTGCTTCATGCATAATTACTGAAAAATTAATGCCTGAAATAGTAGGAACTAATTTATTTAAGCACTCTAAGGCACTAGGATAGCAAATCATCTTTATTCTAAATGTGTATATTTATGAAGGTTTAATAATAGACAGCTTAACGAGTACTAGAAATGTTTTCCCAATTCTGCTAAAGGGCACAGAAAGCTAATGTAGTGAGGGTACCAACAATTGCCACAGGCACCAATTATAGCCAGACTGGATGCCTTTATAATTCAGAAATTAGTTAAATTCTCAAAATACACTCTCTCAGCACAGACACAGTTTGTATGTTCTTACCAAATAGGCTCATTTACAGTTTGCCCAATAAAGCAGGTTTGTGTGTCTCCCATGCTATTATTCATTAATAATGTATCCTGATTTAAGATCTCT